AGAGAGAGAGAGAGAGAGAGAGAGAGAGAGAGAGAGAGAGAGAGAGAGAGAGAGAGAGAGAAGGGGGGGGAGAAAGGAAAAACAAACCAAGGGGCCGTTTGTGTACACCCATGAACTGCTGAAAACCAGACCCATGATGGAATCCAGATGCGATCAAGATGAACAAAAATAAAACAATATTCAATTTCCTCGGGTCGGTCAGTTTAACCGTTCAACGATGATATTCTTCCAGTGGGACGATCAAACAACACTCCAATGGTTCAAATTTGAAAAAAGAAAGAAAAAGAAAACAGCAACAACAAGGATCCGAAGCTGTACCAACCGGGCCTAGCTCAGTTGGGACACCCATGAACTGTTGAAATAGAGACGCAAGTTCGAATCCAGATGTAACCAGATGAAGGGAATAAGATAATTGTGAATAACCTGGGGCCGGTGAGATGATATCTCGAGGCTGTCGCCCTCTTTTTGAAAAAAAATAAGAAGCTTAGCCGTTTGGTTGAGTGTTTGCCTCCTGACCGGGAGGGCGTGTGTTCTATTCTTGGGATTCGGCACGTGAAGCGTAAGATTCAAAAAAAAAAGGGGAACCCAAAAAAAAAAAAAAAGACAAAAAAAAAGGGTAATTGCAGAAACAGCGCTTTTTCAAAAGTTCACCCAAGAGCCTAGGTCAGTGGGTACACCCATGAACTGTTGAAAAGCCCGTGCCTGGTACCGCGCCTCTACAACAACCTGGGCGTTATAAAAAAAAATAAAAAAATACACACCAGTCAGTGTTCGAATCCAGATGATGATGGAACCACTTGATGGGTACAGTCGTAAAACCAACTTTTTTTTTTTTTTTTTTTTTTTTTTTAATCTGAATTGCCTGGGGCCGGTCAGCTTAATGATGATATCTCAAGGCCGTCACCCTTTAAAAAATCGAAGTTTCCCAGCGGAAATGCTGTTGCGGTCCGAAAGAAAGATGTACTTTTTGTGACGATAGTGGGACCCCGCCCGCACATTCTTTTGCTGTGAAACTACCCGCCACTATTTTTTGCTGTGAAATACCCCTAACTCGCTATTTTCGAATCTTAACCACACACCCCCCCCCACAAAAAAAAACAAGGAAGCTAGGTAGCCCAGCCCTTGTAGCTGAGCGGTACAGCCATGTACCAGTGGGGCTTTGGTGTGAATCTGCAAGCTCTCTCCAGTCTGCCTGTCATTGCAGATGTGTATGGGTCCTATGGGAACATTTGAATGCGGGTCTGAGTTTGAGTTGTGAATCAATCCAGAACTTTCGCCCCTACTGCTCCGTTCTGCTGCACCCACCTGCACCGCGGGTTGGGTGCTGCTTGAAGCCAAGTGTGCGAGAGCATTACCTCGTACGTGTGGTGCTGTGTGTGGTTGGTGTTGAGTTGGAGACCACAGCCATGCAGGACTCGGGGGTGGATATCACGACTGCTATGCTTCCTCTTCTGAATGAACACACTGTCTCGCCTTTTGATTGAATGCCATAGGCCAAGATGTACGGATCCATCGGATCCATAACTACACGCAGGCAGGCATCTGCAAAGCGCACGTAAAAGACCGAACGGTAGCCAGTTCGAATCACGTCAGCCGGCTGCCTTTGGGTCTTTTCCCTGCCCTTTTTGTCACCACAGCCTGCGTGTCGTTATGGATGCATCCCGGCCATCGGAGGAGGTCATAGGCCGAGATGCAGGGTTCCAGAACGACACGCAGGCAAC